ACAAAGGCGCCCGTGCAGCCATGACGCTCCGCCGCGCCGGAGCCCGCGGTGGCGCCCCCCGTCCTCCCCGTTGCCCGCCCCGGGGCCGACTGTGCTACCCGCCTCCCGAGCCCGCCGCCCACCTCTCCTCCCATCGCCGGAGTCACGCACCACGCCGCGCCAGCCACCATGTTACCCCGCGGCGGTAGCGACAGACGACGAGCGGGGGGCAGCTGGCCCACACACCCCCCCACCCTGGGCTGCCGGGCGCTCCGCGACGGCCATGTTAATGCAGGGCCATCAGCGAAGCCCGCGGGCCCGAGCGCCGCCGGCTCAGAGCCGCCAGCGAAGTTTGCCCGCGCCGCAGTCCCCGCCGGGCGCTCGCCGCCCGCCCGCCGCGTCCGTCCCGGGCTGGACGCCTCAGCACCGCCCTCGGCTCCCGCTCCTGCCCGCTGCCGCTGCCGCCCGGCGCTGGAACACGCGCCTCGCCTGCTTTGCCCACAGCCGCAGCCGCCCCTTCATCCCCTCCGCTCCCGCCCCAGCTGTGGGCACATCTGGCCTGGAAGGAGGGCTGCCCTTCGGCCAACACGGGCTCCGCGGAGAGGCCGACAGCCCACACCCGGGAGCAGAGGAGAAAGCATTTTGAAAAGTTTAAACACCTGAATCGCTGCTTCCTTCCCGTCCACCTAGCTAGACAGAAGGCGAAGGAGCGGGAAGGGCGCGGGAGGCGAGGCAGTGGGAGGCGGCGGCGGCAGGCGCGCTCGCTCGCTCAGTCGCTCGTTTAGTGGCTCGCTCGCTCCCTCGCTCGCTCGCGGAGGTGCGGCCCGGAAAGTTGTGAGGGCGCTGCGGCGGCAGCAGCGGCGGCGGCGGCGGCCGTGGCGACGAGCGCGGGCCGTGCGAAACGTACCTGTATTGTTCGCTAGTCTGGGCAGCGCAGGGCACGACGCGCGGCTCAGCACTCCCCAACCTCGCGCTAGCTGCCTCCACGAGAGCCGCCTGATTGGCCAGCGGGCTCCGCCGTTTAAAACAGCCTCCTCGCCCAACCATTGGCTGAGAGCCTCATGCATATTAAGTAGGCTCTGGCGCCCATTGGGCGCGGCCTCTGGGATTATTCATTCAAACAGAACAACCCGCCGACGCCGGTGTCTTGAGGCAAAACACAGAATAAAAATATTCTCACACCCCACCTCCTCCCCTCGCCGACCCCGCACTACCAGCCCGAAGTCTAACTTTGGAGAGGTGGTTTCGACTTTCCCGGAGGTCTTGCCCTCAGACGAGCAAAGTGAGTCTCGTGGCTCTGCCCTCTGCTCCCTAGACGCGCCAGCTGGGGCGCCCCACAACCTGGCCCCTGGCCCTCAGTAAGCGCCTGTGCCCCCGGAAAACCTCCCCGGACCGACCACCGACGGCTGACAGTCTTCCACCTGTATCCAGGTCCGCCGAGCAGGAGCAAGGTCCCGGCTGGAGCCAGGTCCCCATGTCCCGCCAAGAGCAACCCTGCACGCACACTGGCTCGGCGCCTACGGATCGCACTCAGCTAGGCTCTTGCCAGTAAATGCGAGAAAATCTGTATTGGCGCCTGCAATTGCAGAAACGGCGGGCTTCGGGGAGCTAGAAGTGGAGATCGGAGTTTTCAAAAATGGATGTCAATTGCAGTTTTGGACACTCTGGGTAGAAGTGACATGGCCTGCCTTCCCTTTCGTGACACACCCCCGATAAAGTACTCGAATGACAGAAAATTTCAGACATGGAAATGGGGAAGAAAATCATTCAAAAGCAGGAACTCCCCTTTCCAAAAGTGAAGAAAGCTATTTATGATTCTCCTATTTAGGCAGAAGAGCCAACAGAACATGAGTTTATCAAATGCCCTTTACAGAAGTAAGGACTGAGTTTCGAAATGTGCAAGACAAACGGCCGCTCACAAGCATCCAACCCTCTGCCGCACTCTTTCTCACTCAACGCTGGCATTCTACCACTTGAGGGACAGCTCCACTAGCTGCCATACACTTGCCAACGTATGGCTCTGAGCTTCTGCAGCCAGTCTTCGAAATCAAAAGGCACATGCAGTGCTGATTTGGAAAAGAGCCAATAGGTAGCAAACCATTATCCCAGGCCCACACTAGGACTTGATAAGGTTGTGCTTATGTACCTCTACTCCTAGTGATCTTCTCAGCTCCCTTCTAGCTTAACCATCTCCCAGCCTTCAGATCACTCACACCTCAGAGTTCTCATGACGGCGTAGACCTTTCCTCCAACCATCTCCCAGCCTTCAGATCACTCACACCTCAGAGTTCTCATGACGGCGTAGACCTTTCCTCCAGCAGCGAGCCCCATCTCATATAAGCGCATTATCAGGACCCCCCCATCTGCTCACATTACATCCAACCCCCTTCACCCTGCCTCTGCTGCCACAATCTATAAGGTAGGTACCCAGTACCTTATAGGCCAAACCACTCCACAAGTGGCTCCATGGCACCCCATCAAGACCTCTCCTTCCCCACCCCACCCCACTCCCCCTATTTGCCTAATCTTTTCAGTACATACATTGGATTTCCAAGTTATTCAATGGTACAGTGTCAATCGACGGAAAGGTTCTGTTCCAAGGAGCATCTTCAATCAAAGGAACACTGTCTTTCGAAGATTTACTCCTAGAAATAGCTTCAATCAAAGGAAGACTGTCCTTCGAAGTAACAGTTTCATTTGGAAGAATTGCTTTGTTCCTAAGAACACCTTCAATCAAAGGAAGAGTTTCCTTCAAAGAAACAGGATCATCCAAAGGAAGACTTCCATCCTTAGGAAGAATTTCATCTGAAAAAACAGTTTTGTTCCTAGGAACAGATTCAATTAAAGGAAGACCTCCCTTCAAAGGAACACCTTCATCGGAAAGAAGATTTTTGTTCCTAGAAAGAGCTTCGATCATTGGAAGAGTTTCCTTCGAAGGAAGACTTTCCATGTCTACTCTATAGAAGACCTAGTCTTGTATGAGCTTAACCTTGTAGTGGAGGTTGCCTTGAGCAGAACTTTAAGGAAAATGTCTATGACATCACTCAGTGTCAGAGATCTGAAGTTGGTTGCCATGCTTCCCAACTCACATACCATGCCAAGACACCATATGCTCCTCAGATCCAGCCTCCCTACTCCTCCAATCCCTGCCAGTAAATCTCCACTTAGAGGCCCATCGCTGCTTTGTTTACCTTTTGCGGCAGCCTGAGTGGCCAAATGGATTCCTACCTCACCCAAACTCTCAATTTAATCCCATGCAGTATACTATTAGTGGCTAGGCAAGATGGTATGCTTGTAATGCATACACTCTGGAGGCTGAGTCAGGAAGATGTCAAGTTAGAGGCCATCCTGGGCTTCCTATGCAGGCCAGCCCCATGTAAAAGAAAAACATGTAGTAACGAATAGCAGAAGGGAGATAGGGGAGGAGTAGAACAGGAAGGAAGAAAGAAGAAAGGAAGGAAGATGAGAGAGGCCTTGGGCCCTGTCACAATTCTTGGGATGTATTTTGCCATGACACTCCACCTCTTCCAGCATCAATATCCTCTGTCAAACAGATTCAACCCACTTTACCTGCGTACACCACTGTCCAATCAAATGTTGAGAGTAGCTATTAGTGAAAAGTAGACTGACTGATCAAAAGCTTCCAGGGGACTGGGTCCTACTCAGCTCAACCCATGCTAGAGGAATTTTCTCACATGTTCCTGGTCCTGAGTTCCATCCCCCGCACAAGAGAGAGAAGTGGGGGGGGCAGATGGACGCACAGACACACAGAGACAGACAACAAGTGGCAGAGAGACAGAGTCAAAGAGACAGAGGAAGGAGGAAGAGGAAGAAAAGGAGGCTAAGGAGAAGGCACCATCTCAGGAGAAGCCTAAAGAATAATCTGGAAGGTAAAAAGTTACAGATAGCCAAGGGCCCCAAGATTCAACCTGGTGTCAGGGTCTCAAGGCAAATCAGTGTCCCTGTTCAGAGCAGCCGAGGTTCCCTGGGAGCCTCTTTGCTTGAAACACCGAGGACAGTGAAGCAAGTGAGCACGTGAGGACGATGCTTTGGCACCTGTCTTGGGCATCCTAGAAAGCCCTTTAACCCCATCAGTCACCTCAGAGACCCTCACATGAATCAAAGCTTACACACAAAGGAGAACTTCCGACCAGAATCCCTTAATCTGCTTGGCTGCCTGGACAAGTTGTGAAAACACGAAAAGTAAACAAAAAAAGAAGAGTGGCAAATACTATGTAAAGAGATTTTCCATTCCTGTCAGTTGAAGGCCCCCAAAAGATTAAGAGGAATCCTTGTCATTCAAAACAAATGAAACTCTGATCCTTTGATCTACCTCAAACCCCACCCCACATCTACACACAGGCCCCAAAGTGTTCTTTAGCTGCCCAGAGCTTAAAGGTGACTTCCCAGAGGCCCACTCAAACCATGTGTTTCAGAGGTGGTTGAGGCCTGGAGCACTGTTGGAAGAGCTATGGAGTTACATAGCTATGCATGAGCTATGTGATACTCTAGCCCAGCCTCCTAGGACCACAGGATACAGTGGCCAAATGTGCCCAAATCCCCACAGGGTCAGTGGTAGAGCCAAGGGCTGGAAGCCTAATCTCTCACATTTTAGTATTGCTCTTGCTTTTCTCCTAGCACGGACACTGCACCATTGGGTGAGTGGTGAGTTGGCCAGAGTAGCCAGTGCCCTTCAAGAAGGATGCTGAATTCCGAAGAGTGATCTGAAGGCGGAGCCTCTTCTGAGGCCTGTCCCAGGGCAGACTCAGAGCCCCTAGGAATGTGAAAGCTTGCAGAACTAGAGAGCTCCTGTGAAGTTTGTGTGTCTATTTCCCACTTCAGTGGCAGCCAAGGGTGGACCTACTCCCTGACCTCCCATGGGAGATAGAAGGAAGGCCACTCCTTTCCTCAGCATTGCCGTCCCTCTACACAGAGGTGGGAGGCACAAGCCACCTGTCATAGGAACTCCTGGGAAAGTGGCACAGGAAGCCAGGCACTGTGGTTCAGAGCAGACATCATGTTGGCAGCAGGTTCACTAGCTCCCTGAGTTCTGACTGGCTAATGTGGTGGCCCTTGTCTGCATGCCTGTATAAAGCACAGACCAGGCTCCGAGTCACTGAGCAGGCAATGAGCTAGCCTCCTGATTACCACCATCACCTTGACAAAAGGTAGGAGCCGTTTCTCTCCACCTGAAGCAAAGGAAATCCTGCAAGGGGCGGGAGGTGAGGATGACCGTTTTCTACATCAAGTCAAGATTGGCATTTAAGTGGGCTAGGAAGGTGGCTCAGTGGTAGAGTGCTTGCCTTGCATGAATGAGGCCCTGGGTTCGTTTCCTCAGCACCACACAAGCAGAAAAATCTGGAAGTGGTGCTGTTGCTCAAGTGGTAGAGTGCTCACCTTGAGCTGAAGAGCTGAGGGACAGCACCCAGGCCCAGAGTTCAGGCCCCACGACCAACCAAAAAAAGAAAAAGATGGGCATTTAAACATTGCTTCTGGAAGTCAGGGTCACATCTATACTCCTACCTTCTCAGAAGGCTGCTAGGGATCTTGGTTCAAAAGCAGATTGGGCAGAAAAATCCTTAAGATGCCATCTTCAGTTAACCAGCCAACAGCCAGGCTAGAGACATGGCTCAAGTACTAGAGCACCTAGCCAAGATCAAGCAAGTACAACTTCCAACCCAGTACTTTCTGAAGTTATAGCTGTTATTCAGAGATGGAATTGTTGTCTAGCAACAGAAACTCCACCCTCAG